ATCTGGGAGGTGGAAACCGCGGATTGTTTACAGAAATAGGAGTAACAACAGAAAATCCCTGGTACTAATGGCCGAAGCCAAAGACGAAGTTCGGTCGTTCTCTAGTTATGACGAATAAGAAATTCTCTTCTACAGGTTTTTGTACGAAAATGAAAAGGTGTTTGCTTTCGCGGATGTTCCCCACCTTATTAAATTAGTTAGGAACAACTTTTTGGATCATGGGTTCCGGATAGATGGAAAGGTGTTACCAAAGGCCTTATAGAGAAAATTTTATCTCTCACATCAACGGACGTTACTATCACCCACAAAATTGCAGCAAAACATCTTCGCGTTTACGGTACCGAACGGCAAAAGGTATCACTTGCAACAAAATTGTTTTCTCACACGATGGTATGGGTGGCTTAAACGGTGAAAATTGGAAAGAATTGTCACGGTTATTAAAAGGTGTAAGCATAAATGGTTATATTATACCAACTTATAACTGTTATCCTAAATGTTGAAAATGTATTACTTGTAGACAAATGATTAGTTCGATGTTCTCAATGTGCGGGTTCCAAAAGATGGTTGTCGAGAATGGTGTCATGGGTTTGGATTGGCGCTTGACAAGCAGATGTCAATTTTAAGCCAAATGGACGAGCTTATAAAGCAACTCCGAGTAATTGGAAAATATACTTTGCTGGCTTTTCAAAAAGGTATGGGAATGAAACTTTTACTTTTCTTTCATTGACTTGCATATTTATTATTTATAAAGGTATTTTGCAAACAAACAATGCTGTACGTCTGCTTTACACAGAATTGAAGCAAAAATACGGACTGAACTACATACTGACCTATAGACTGAACCAAGACATAATTTAAAACTTGTTTGGCCTTATTCGAACCTTAACAACCACCCCGACCGCGAAGAGTTCCGGTTCCGGCTGCGTAACTATTTGCTTGGATGTAACCAAGACGCCTTGTCAAGCAACACAAACATGCAACCAGACAACACTCCCGATTTGGAATCTATTGAAAGTCCCCTTACTGGTAATCCCTCTACGTGTATGGCTTCTTTTAGTTCACATCCAACTTGATTTAAAGGAATACTTCCACGTTCATTTTCCAAGGAAATAGAGATTGGCACGAAAGAGCCGCCGACAGATGAAGAAGAATCTTTGGAGATAGACGGCTTATAGCACCTAGCCGGATACATCTGCTTCAGACTAAAAAATCAAGAGCCTGATTTGATTGACACCAGCCAGGCCACATTCTCGTGGGTAGATCATGTATCTGAAGGAGGCTTAACCAAACCCACAGGATGTATGTTAGAGCACATGACAGCCCTGAACACAATTTTTAAGGAGACAAATCGAGAAGGGCTTTT